TGTACAGTGTCCCAACTTTTTTGGAATTGGGTTTGTACTTCAAAACAAGAACATCATGATTACACATATAATGATATGCAAATAATAATTCCAAATAATTCATCCTGAGAGAGCTACACCTCTGTAATGGTCACCATACATTAGAGGGTTAAAGCTTAAGGATTTTGAAAAATGTATATAATAAACACTGACAAAGATACTGCACTATTTCTGGGTCTTGGGTGATTACTTACATGTAAGCAAATTTGTGACATTGAATTTGTGAACCCAAAAAGGGGAAACAAACCAAATACTGAGAAATTCTTATAAATCGTATATTTAAAAAAAAAAACTAAACTATTAAATAGTAAATTTAATATTTAAAAAAAAAAAATGTAATAGTAAAAAAAAACTTTTTACTATTAAATATATTTTATTATATTAAATATATACGTATGCTGATAATTGTAAGGAAAAGTATATTTTAGTATAGCAGTATATTTATTAAAAATCCTTCATACCAATGAATATTCCTTCAGCTTTCCTAACAGCATCCACAGGGTCTGATGTCTCGTGGACACTGTCCACCTCATAGCCTGGAAAGGAGAAAAGAAGAGATGAAGGCCAATGTGGCAGTGACTGTGTGCTTAACATACATGTGGTCAAATCAACAAGACACAAACCCAATGTCTTGAACTTGTCTCTGGCAGTCTTGCTATAGGCATCTCGGTCATGCAGTGCATATGGGATAAACAGGATCCTCTTTACATTCCTGTTGAACAGAAAACATAAAGTTATGCGCACTTATAACCGGGGTCAATGCAGGTCAGATTAATTTGATGATTACAAAAACACAAAAGTGTGTCTTAATACTTTATATGCACTTGTCATAACCGGTGTTTAAGTTCAATGAATGGACTTGTACTTTGCTTCACTTATCCAGTGACACGCCTGCATACAGATAGAATATTATTATCAGAATACACCCAGAATATAACCTTTTATTTTGTATCAGAATATTAGTATATAAAGGGTTTATGACTGTAATTGCAAAACTATTCTTAGAACAGTTTTACCAAAAGTGTAATGCCTACATTCTAGTTAAGCTGCTGGCAACTTACTTTCCATAAAAGTCTTGGATCTGCTGCTGACAGTGTTGAAGATATCCTCCTCCATGAAGAGTGGAGTTAGATACCAGCAGAAGTCTTCTCTTCATGATTCTGCCTCAGAAATGTAGAAGTGGATCAGAAGATGTCAGCTCAGCACATGACCAGCGCTTCTTTCTGCTGACAGCACACTCTCAAATCAGTTTGGTCGTAATCTCCAATACACAACCTTTGGTCAGACAGTATATCGCTCTGATTATTCCACAGATGACAGACCTTCAGAGGAACAAGCCTTGATAAGAAACCTTATAACGTTACTGGAATCACGTGATTAAAGCAAAACATCACAAAATGAACAATTTACTGAGACAGCAGAGGCAGATCTTGAAGTGCTGATCACAATTTCAAACCACTTTTTAAAACAAACGTAGAATCGTTTGTTTTGTTTTATCTGAACTTTTTATTTGTGATATTTTTATAGGTACTCGTTAAAGGCAACTTGTTTTCAAAATAAAAGTCTATATCTATTCATCTCATTTTT